GAATGTTAGTGGAGCAAAACAATTGAGTTGAATGTGTGAAAGTGAAATAATATCAATTTTCAATCTCATTGTTGTTTGAGCTACTATCCATATATTCCTACCCCTCAAACCAGCCAAGTTACAACCTATGAAGTCCTTTTGATCAACTGGTGCATGTGTTTGATTCTTCATTTTTAAGAATTTTTTAGAATATGATCAAGCCTATGGTAGTGTTATAGCTATGATTGATTGAGTGCTCATGATACCCTTAAACACTGAGTGTTGTGTGGATATTATTTATCTGTGTGAGGGGTAATCAATGTAAACTTGTATCTTTAAGAAGCTGATGACATTGTTGGGAGTTTATGATTTTGGGTCAGGCATGCATAGCATCTTATGTCTAAGAGTGTCTATGGAATGTTATGTTGGAATAATTGAATATTACCTAGATTGAGTCTTGTACATTGCTGGGGACAGCAACGTTTAAATCTGGGAATGGTTTGATGTGCCTCTGGCAAGCGTGGTTTTCCAAGCTGGAAATTATAAGAGTTGAGTAATAAAAGAGCAATTTAAATATATATTTGCTTATTATATTGATTCTTCTATGTTAATGATATTTCTCACCTATTGGTTGTGTTTTTACAGGAAAAAGAAGTGAAAATTATAAAAAGCCTGTTAACGCAATTCTACACGGGTTCAGAGGAGTACAAATTCCAGAAGCATGGCACGGACTGGCACCACACTGGCGCGAGCCCACCAGTTTACGAACTCTACACCGGAGGCCTGCAAGTGGCGCCACATTGGAGCCACCTAGCGTCAGAAGAAACAAGTCACAGTGGAGTGGCGCCTACTAGCACCAAAAATGGCGCCAACTAGCGCCAAAATTTCCAAGCTAACTAGCGCCACTTCCAAGCCAAGTAGCGCCACATTCATGGAGAAATAAAATTGCACAGAGGCATGGGGCCCACCATTTTACGAGGAATGAATCCGGCTTTTCAATTTGGACAGAGGCATGGCGCCGACTGGCGCCAAACCGGCGCCAACTGGCGCCGGTTTGCGGGATAATTACACCGTGCTATTCGAGGGTAATTTTGGAAGAAAGAAGCGAGGCTTATAAATAGGATCCTCATTACAGAATTAAGGACAGACCTATTCTATTGAAGAGAGACGACGGTGGTACTCAGAGAGAATTCCAGAGATCGAATTCTTCTTCTTCTTTCTCTATTAATTTACCAAGTTTTATAAATATTGGATTTTTAGCCTTGATAATGGTTGGCTAGTTTATGTTTATTGTAGTTAGGGTCACGAACCCTATGTGAACCCTTGTTACAACAGATTGATTTATGGTTTTTCGTTTATATAATTATCTTTATCTTTACCCTGTGTGTAATTTCTATTTTCTTTGTTAGACTTGATCAATCTAATAGTTGATGATAGTTTGAGGATTAGAACCCTAGATAGGAATATTGGGGTTTTCATCTTGAAAGGGGGTAAGATAACAATTATTATGCATATCAGGAATAGATGTGTATTGAATTGCGGATGCTTAAATTATTACGTTCATTGCTTAATGCCATGAGGAACATTGCAAGGAATTGGGGTTCCAATTTGGATTAAAGCGTTAACCTTGCAAGGAATTGGGGGTTAACTAATAATATTTTTAGATAATAATTTATCTGAGTAATTATATAATTGAATATTGTAAATCAATTTAAAGTAAGAAGTGGGATCATATGGTGAGTGTACTCTAGCTACAATGCTTTTTTCATATTTTCACAAATCAAATCTCATTTTTATTGTTCTATTTCTTATAACAAAAAGCCAAAAACAAGTCTTTATTTTCAATTCTCACTTTTACACAAATCGACAATATTTGTCACAAACTATTTGAACTCATCCATTCTTGAAAGGACGATTATTTGACATACGATCACAATCCCTGTGGAAACGAACTTTCTTATCATTATATTAATTGTGCGATCGGTATACTTGCCGGGAAGCATCGCTTACGAAATATTTTAAGTACACAATTCTTCTTCTTCTTCTTCTTCTTTGGGTAAAAGTACCGTAGTCTTCTTGACTCCTTGTGTATTAGTTTTAGGCAATGAGTCCTTCAAAATCCACATTTTCCTTTCACTAACAAATGCATTCTTCCTTATGTCATATATATGCATATGCACTATGTGCATTCATTCCACAATGGAAACCTACTGAAAGGATTATTTAAGGAGCTTGAGGAAACAAATAAGTTTTTGTAGACTTTTTGTTGTGTATTGGACTCATATCCCCATCCGGTTTTGTCAAACAGACACCTTTGTTTTCAAAGCAAGATGTTGAAATTGTCCCTTTCCTTTAAACTTGGCAAAGGAGTATTTTAAATCTTAAATTTCTTTTTCTAGTACTTTAGACGTAATGCAAGAAGATTGTTTATGGATTTTACATACAATTCTTCAAATGTCGTTTGCAATTCATTATATGAAGGTGAAATGTCATCATATGAAGGTGCGATTTCAAGATTAAGAAATTCTACTTCATCTTCATCGTGATTGGCCATGAGACTAAATGAGCTTCCTCATAGTCTTTATTGTATGTGGAGTCCAATCATTATTTCCTACAGGTCTTTTCGTCTTCTCTTTGAATGTTCTTTTTTCATATTTTTCTTTTGATAGTTTGGATACTCTATCTAGATGTGTTTAGGCTTTCCGAAACTCATAGCAAGTGTGTACATTGCTTGATGGCTCACCAATGACAATTATTCTTTTGGAAGAAAAGAAGCTCTTCGTGGTTCCCTTTCTCCTTAAAAAATCTTCTAAATTTTCTATCAAGAAAATTTAAGCTATTTTCATCAAGCTCCATGGATTCGTCCTTAGTATATTCTTCATATCCATCATAGAAGAGGAGACATTGAAGGCTCGTTTGGTACGTAGATTATTTGTGCGTACCCGGGAAACCAACGTCTGGATCTTGGGATAGCATGTTTGGTACCACAAAAATAGGCATTTTCCCGGCCAAGAAGTTGTCCTGTAGTATGGGCTTTAGCTGTGATTTCATCTACGACAACCAAAACAAGTTGTCCATCTCAAAGACGTCTTTCATCGTTGCCCGGGGAAATGAAATCTGAAGCGCGAACAACATTACGTAAAGGCCCTTGAGGGATTGTACGATTTGTGAAGTGTTGGTACACAGTGGATTGGGCTTGCTTGTTGAGTGATATATGTGTGAAAAATGGCGCGAATGAGTTGTGGGTCTCTTATTTCTCCCTCCATTTTCTGAGGTCGCAATTGAGGAGAAGAACCTTGTGGCTTGCATGTGACTGACGAAATCGGTATTAATCTTGCTTTTGATGACATTTGCATGTGCATTTTGCATATTGTGGATGGTGGGTTTCGTTGAACTGAATTTTTGTAAGAAAATGTAATGAGGTTTGTGATGTACAGTGCTATCTTGCTGAGCATGTATCTGGTAGCTTCTTGGTTTATTGCGCTTTGATCCATTCTTTCTATTTCTTGGTAGGAGTGGTGGAAGGTGTTGAACAAAGAAGTTTTTTTGCAATCACCACAATCGACTGGCAAGTGAGATAAAAGGAGAATGAGGTAAAAAATGTCACTTCTTAAATTCGTAGAATGATTTTATCATCTGAGAATGAGTTATTTTCTGCATAGCCGAGTTGTGGTTGGAAAAAAAATTGCACTTATACTATGGTTTTGAGTTTTTTGATACTCCTCTGTTCATGTGAAGCTTACATGGTCTGGTAATATGGGGAAAATTTATACCACATGAAGTTTGGGCACTCATGTCGGCAAAGAAGTTGAATTCATTGACATGTTTTATTTATAGCCTCTTCGTAATCTATTTTGTTTGTTAATTCTGTTTTGGATTTTGCTTTCAATCAAGTATCTTTTTCATTAACAAAGAAAAACAGGGGTTATAAGACAGAATAAAGATTGGTAATCTTCATCGTGATATACACCATTCTTCAACTGAACAACATAAATTTTGCTTTAGGAGAGTGTTTTTGTATAATGCTGAAATTTTTTGAGCTAAAAAAATACTTTCAATACGTGTCCTTGTCCTCATGTATGTGTATGCATCACCTAGTTTTATTTTATGGGGGACATTACTTACATAAGAAGTACACTTAAATGGTCTAGCTAGTGGACTACATAGGTAAAATTTTGCTTATTGGTGTGAATACATATTCAGCAAATACTTGGTTAGTAATCAGAAAATATTTACCTAAAAGCAAATTTTTAATTACCATATAGTTGGTGTGAATAAACACTTGTTTGATGCGTCTAATCTGCCCATGGATTCAATGAGGTGCAGTACTTTTTTTTCTTTGGCAGAGGTAACATACGAATTTGAATCAGAGTTATTTTAAAACAATTTATTTTTTCGTATGACTATAAGTTGCACATGCTTGAACAACCTCGACCAGCATGTGAATTGTGTTCCATCCATTCAGCCATATCATGTATTTTTTAACATTACATGTAATTTTGGATATACTTACTATTTGGGATCCACGATTTTGAACAGAAATATGAAAAAAAAAACGGGTAATTGGTGGTTATGAGTTATGTCCTTTACGTGAAAACATTTTGGCTGAATGGGATAAGTTCATGTTTAGGGTGGTCATATGCGTAAGGGTTTAGGGAATGATATGAGCCAACCTTGAACGACCTCATCATTTGCACGGAACCAATTACATACATTTTTCCCTCTAATTCCCCTATTTTTCATTGTGTTGTTATTATTTTTATGCGTTCATCACTGTTCGATTAATGTTAATTACTTTAACCTTGTTGTGTTAGATTGAGACAATGAACAAAGCAATGGAGTTGAGTGTCATTATTGTTATCATTTGTCATTTGCAATCTTTGAATCACCTCACTGTGTTATTAGTGAGAATTTATGGTGTGTTATTAGCTTATATGGAAATAAGGAAAAGGTCAAGGAGGAGATTGAAGTGGGATTTTTGTAGTAGGGCTTCGACCAGGGAAATTAATCTGCATAGAATAATGTATATTACTGACACCGCTTGTATTGAGAATACAAGGATGGATAGGCGATGCTTTCATAATTTGTGTGATTTATTGAAAACTGTTGGGATGCTTCAACCGTCAAGGCACATGGGGATAGAAGAGCTGGTTGCAATGTTCCTTCACATATTGGCGCATGATGTTAAGAATCGGGTAATTAAAAGACAATTTATGAGGTCAGGGGAAACAATAAGTAGACAATTCAGCAAGGTGTTGCAGGCTGTGTTACGGTGTCACACTGTACTACTTAAACGCCCTGAACCCGTCCCTCAAAACTCAACTGACAACAAATGGAAGTGGTTCAAGGTATGAGTTATTATGGTGTTAAGGTGTTTTGCTGTTTACAATATGATACCCTCTTTTATATTCATGTCTTATAATTGTGGTTCTTTTTTTTTTAAAGAATTGTCTCGGAGCTTTGGATGGGACCCACATAAAGGTTAATCCGCTACAAGTTGATAAGCCAAGATACCGCACTAGGAAGGGTGAGATTGCAACAAACGTGTTGGGTGTTTGTTCGCAGGATTGTCAATTTATTTATGTCTTGGCCGGATGGGAGGGATCAGCAGCAAATTCAAAGGTTCTGAGAAATGCAATCTCTCGTCCAAATGGATTAAGGGTCCCAAAAGGTAAAACATAACACACATGGATATGACAGTACGGACATATCATTATGTACCTTCTATTGTCAACAGTGTTGATCACGTGTCGGTTATTTTGTCGTAGGTTACTATTATTTGGCTGATGTTGGTTATATGAATGGGGAAGGATTCCTTACACCTTATAGAGGGCAAAGATACCATCTTAATGAGTGGAAACACGGGGCACAGCCAACGACACCGCAAGAATTTTTTAACATGAAACACTCAGGTGCTAGGAATGTGATTGAAAGATGTTTTGGGTTGTTGAAGGGGCGTTGGGCCGTTATAAGGTCAAAGTCTTTTTACCCGGTCAAAACCCAATCTAGGATAATCAATGCATGTTGTTTGCTTCATAATCATATAAGGAACGAAATTCCTATTGACCCATTGGAGGATAATACTTTGGACACGGCAGTGACTGAAGACAACTTTGAAGGACATGAAATGATAATGCATGTTGAGTCCTCTAATGCGCGGACAAGGTGGAGGGATGAATTGGCTCAACAGATGTTTGACACGTGGAGGAATGGAACTTGATTGTCTTTATATGGTGTCTTTAAATAGACTATATTGTCACATGTTGCATGTATTTACATAGTTTGAATTCAGAACAATTATGTGCTTGTACTAAATTTTTATGATCATGCTCAGCTATGTAATCTTGACCATATTCGTACTATGTAATATTATATTTAACCCAAACTGTCTTCAACTATTCATGATTATTTATCCAAACCATTGCATTATTTTGTTAAATTGTTGTAGATGGCTGACAAGGATAGTCGATCGACGAAACGGATTAACCATACTTGGACAACAGAAGAACACAGGGTCTTTGTTGAATGTCTTGTTGAGTCTAGTTTAGGTTGGAAGGGTGACAACGGTTTCAAGACTGGTTTCCCTAATCACTTGGAGAAGTTGATGGCTGGGAAAATTCCTGGATGCACATTGAAGGGCACTCCCGACATTACTTCTAGGATCAAGCTCCTTAAAAAGCACTACAATGCAATTGCTGAAATGATGGATCCGAATGGGGGATCTGGTTTCGGATGGAATAATAGGGACAAAATGATTGATGTGGAGAAGGAAATTTTCATGGAAAGGGTGAAGGTAAAAAATACCATCTCATTTGACTTTGTCACCGGTTTAACTTTTTATGTGAATAGTGTATATTTACTTTTACCTGTCTCTCAATGTTCTCCTTTCAGACTCATCCGCAAGCAAATGGTCTTTACAAAAAAACCTTTCCCATACTACGTTGCTTTGGGACCAATTTTTGGAAAGGACATGGCTAATGGAGAGCATGCTGAGGGTCCAGAGGATGCAGTTGAACAAATGGAAAATGAAGCATATGGAGTTGGTGAAAGTGGGACTGCCATAAATGATATTTTTGATCTTTTTGAAGACAACCATACTAATGCGAATTGGGAACCTCCACTCCCTGACACATGTACCCAAGAAGCCACACAAACTTCTCCTGTGTCAATATATGTTGCAAAAAGAGGCAAGAAGAGAGGGAGGAGTGAGGATGCTTTGGCTAGTGATGTATCTTTTGCAATTAAGGATCTTGGTAAGGATTTGACGTGCGCTGTCGAACCCACGCAAATTACCGAGCTTCAGGTTTGTAGTGATAGGGCAACTCGGATCGTCTCCCAAAGAACCTGCTCACAATCAGAAACGCTCTTGTAAAATAAAATAGAAAAAGGAAGGGGGATTTTGTTGATTTGGAATTTAAATAAAACAGATTTGAAAAAGATTTGAAAAAGATTTAAAAGCAATCAACCTAAGGAATCAGGATTCATTAATTTATTTCTTCATTGGATTAAAAAGATATGATTATCAATTCGTGATTAACCCCAATCGAATTAGGAATCCTCAAATTCAATTGGAAACCCTCTCTAGACTATCGCCTAGCGTTTGGTTGAATACAGTATTTAAACTATGCAATCGCAGTAATTTAAACCTGTTTAACTTATGTTCATTGGGTTCGTCAATCTGACCATTAAATCTAATGATCAATTCTCCCTTCTAGAATGCAATCGCATTATTCAGTTTGAATATCTACAATCGCATGATATTCAACCTGAATTGAGAGAAAACGAAATTGATAAAAAAAAGTTAAAAACCAATCCTCTGAAATAAACTAACGAACCTTTAACCTTAGATTGATTAAAGGTGTTTAGCCTAGCATCGCGAGGTTAAACATCATTCAGAATAAAATAGCATAAAAGAAGAAGAAGAAGATGAAGAGAAAGAAAAGTGCAGAATTTCAATAACGAAAACTAGAACAATTGTTCAACTCAAAATCCGACTGCCAAAGGGTTTCCTAACATTCCCTTTAAATAACCCACATTCAGAACGGGTTAGGGTTTCACCACTTCGGCCTATACATAAAATAAAATCTGAATAAAATAAAATAAAATCTTAAAACATGACCTTGGGTCCTAAACACATTGGATTCTAATTGATTTACAAATCAAAATATCAAAATAAAATTCCAGCAAAAACACGTCATCTTGAGCTCTGATTTCGACCATGTTTTCATCCGAATTGGGCTTCAGTAGCTGAAATAGCGATTGTAGCCCTATCTGTTAACTGAAAAATGCAACAAGAACAAAGTCAATCGGACATCTGTAGAGTGAGATATAGTCAAAATATAGAAGTAGTGTAAAATTATGACGAAAATCAATTAAATCCAATCAAAATCTAGAATTGTGATTTGACCCAAAAGACCTTTATTTAATTCAAATAAATCATAAAAATATCAACCAAGAGTAATAAATAAGTGTAACAAAATATGTGTTATCAAATTCTCCCACACTTATCTTTTTGCACACCTGGGCAAAAACTAAAATTGAAAGCAAAGACTAAGATCAACCAATCATTTCTAACAACTATCAAGCATACAGAAAATATACAAAGATCACAAGTCTTCCACAGATAAATCAATCAGGACAGAAATTTTATAATCTCAAATCACAAGACCTGCTAATTTCAGCTGCACATACTAATTACAGAAAATAGTTTCTCAGAGGATGCTCTCAATATTTTTCTCTCAAGCGTGTCAGGTAACAAGAGTATCACTCAAATCTACTCAAGAAAATCATTCTACCATAGGCTTGCTCAAATTCTACTTCAAATATGAATGCAACTACTCAACGTATCTGGACAGTTTCTTGGGTTGAATGGGGTGCACATATGGCTGGCCATATGATGGCCATTAAGTCAGAATATTTGATTATGTTATGACATAATCTCATGAGGATGAAAAAGGAAGGTTGCTTAGAATTTTGAATTAAAAAAACTCCACCTTTTTCTTCCTTGATTGTGCGCTACTTTAAGGAAGATTTTTGGAGAAAAAATCTGAATTTATTTCCATTGATTGTGCGCCACTTTAAGGCAGATTTTTGGAGAAAAATCTGAATTTATAAAAGCTCTTTCTCTCATCCTCTTGAGCGCTAACTTTGGTGAGTTCTTCCTTAGGTTTTTTTCAGAAAAATACCTAGCCAATTCTACTCTATTCCATGTGCCACTTTGGTGATATTTTACGCTGAAAATATCACTCTTCTAAACACATTCACCTAGCCTTCTTCTTCACCTATTGAGTGCATAGCAAGCCTCTTCGTGGTGGTCAATTGGTGGCTTTCAAGAAAGTGTGCTTGCATCTTGACGTGGGTGGTGTGGATCAACGTTAGAGGGTTTGAACCCTTCAAACCTGACTCTGACCTCCTTGGTGGTTTTGAATCACAAACAAAGGTAACATCATGCTATCTTAAAGCAAGAGTCTTTATTGCATGTGTGTTTCCGCAAGAAAAATTTTTGTTTTTCCTTCTCACATGCTTCGGCCAGTAAGGCCATTTACTTTCAGGATCAAGATCCAAGAATCAACACAAGAAGCTACGTCCATGTTCCTATTAGATTACACTTTTAGGACTTATATATGATTGTAAGGGCATATGGTAGATTGCATTGCATGAACTCAAATTTTTTTCAAAGTAAATATGTTTTTCAAATTGCATAATCCATGACTTTTAAATACTTGAAAGAATTTGAAAAAATCTGTGGAAACGATCTTTGACATGTTTTATAACTTCAAAACGTATTTATCAAGTCAAGATCGTTCATAAAAAGTGTTTGAAATACATTTATGAAACAATATCTTTCATATCAAGTCAAGATTTCAATGAAGCTATCTTCCGGACAATTTTTCGTATCAAATATGATGGATTTGGATCTTGTGTTCTTCATAGAAGTTGTATATCTCTCTTTTATCTTTTCAATAAGTCTAAGATCACATCAATCCGACAAGAGTAGCTGAAGTTATACCCAAAATATGAAATAATATTCTTGTTATCGAATTTCTAACCTTCCAACAGGTTGGGAATCGATTCCCCTCTTAGGAAATCGATTACCACCATGTGGCGATTTTCTCTTTTTGGGAAGGTTAGGAATCGATTCCCTAAGTATGAGAGTCAATTCCCTCTGCGATAGAAAGCCTATAACGACTATAAACAACTAGTTTTGGGCTAAATCACTATATATACATTCCCCACAATCCTAAAATCAATTGATCACTATTCTTACACATCCTAATGATAGTTTGAGAGCTTATACACTATCATTTGTATATTATTTCATATCTTTCAAAGATCAAACATATTTGAACTCATATCTTGAAAATCCATATACCCATAGTGCATCAAGTTGTATATCAACACTTTGAGAGTGTATATTTATTTTCGAACACTTCCTTCTTGTATTCTTGAGTTGAAAGAGTTGTGAGATCCATTATGTCTGAGAGGTAGCAAAATACTTAAGTAAATGAGGAGAAAATTGTAATGTATAAAGTACCCGTAAACTTAGAGGTTGTAAGGTATCCAAGAAACCGAAGTCTTGAAAGATTATAAAGGTTTTTTGTAAGAACCCGCACCGTTAATTAAGGAATTTAATTAATTAATTACGAGATTAATGAGATAATTTTATAATTGACCCTAATAATTATGAGAAGGCATAAATAATTATAGTAAGTGGTTAATAACGTTGAAAGTCACTTTTTTGACAAAAAGTGCAGATATCGGTTCTGCCTCACGGTATAAATGCGTACCGATGAAGTATCCCGAAAATTATAATAAGTGTGGGAATATTCCTAGAATAATACATAAGACTAGTATGTCAAATTTCAAGTCGAAATAATGAGAACTGGTGTCAGAATTGATACCGGCTACGTAAAAGCGCATACCGGCAAAGTGCTGCGAAAAATAAAGTAAAAATATGACAAATCCTAGAAAAATGGCTAGGTTCAGAATCCCATGTTTGAGATTAAAATGATAAGCGTAGCTATTAATGCTACTATAGTGTGGTGAGAGTTAATGAGACTATATATACCTAATGGCACACCTTTCTAGGTCAGTTTTCAATTTTCAAAACTGATCCTACGTGCCTCCATCTTTTGATTTGGTGTTCCCTCACCTTTCCACCTCCATTTCACCAAAACACCATAGCTAGGTGTGAGCAAGCCTTGGGTGGGAGAAAGGTTA